GCCAAGACTCAAGTCATCCAAACCACAGCTGGGTTTTTGTGCTGTTTCCATGGGAGCCTTGCTGTGTCTGCTTCTAAATTTATTTGCAATCTGCATTTTGAATAAAATCCCCCGTGCAAAAGCCTTGTCAACATCTGTGGCCTCGCTGCCTGGCCCTGGCTTTTGTGCACCCTGGCAGTGGCACAGTCGTGGCACCTCCCTGAGTGACAGAACATTTGCAGATGCCTCATTCAGGGTCGTGGAATGTCTGACCCCAGCCAGGTTTAAGGTCTTGGCAGCTGTTTGGGGTGCAGGTGTCACGGGCAGAGAAGCTGCTGCAGATGTTCCAGAGGCCTCTGAGCTGTCAGGATGGTTCATGACCTTCATGCAAAGGTGGCAGAGGGTTTGCAGAGCCACAGCTCCTTGGTTTCATCACTGTGGGCCCCATCACATATTCAACCTTGCATTTGTTCACTGCTTTGTGCTTCCCACGGGAGGGCAGGGTGTGTTTTGTGATGCTGCTTTAATCAGGGATGACACCAGCTGCTCATGTCTTTCCCATATGCCAGGAAGACTCCCAAACCTTGGGTTGTGATTCCATCAGTGTGCTCAGAAGCTGCTGGGCTCGTGTTGGAACCGAGGGAATGCCATGGCCTGGTTGGTGGCAGCAGGAGAAAGGGAGCTCTGCTGCTCAGGAAAGCTTAGCAGGAAAAGGGCATCAGGAGTTCTTCGTTATTAAGTGCAGGGTGCTGACACAGGAACATCAGATAGGAGCCATGGAGTGCTTTGCTGGGCTGGGAGCCTGTTGGGACAGCTTTATTTGGAGGCTAATTGAATTGCAGCTCAAAAGAGACGTTTCCTGTCCTTTATTATAAGAGGCTGAGGGAGCTGGAATGATGCTGCACTGTCACAAGCAGATTCCTCTGACCCTCTCCCTCCCAGCTTGGCTAAACTGGCTCCAGGAGGTCTGTGCAGCACAGCTGGGACACTTCAGCCTCTGCCATCAGCAGGTCTGAGGTGAACTCAGATGCTGAGGGGGCTGCTCAGGAAAACCTTTTCCTCTGGGGGTCAGGTCTGAGCAGGACCTGTGTTTTCCCACGGCTGGAAGGAGTTACCACTGGGCAGTTCCAGAGAGGAAGGGGCAGAGGCCTCAGTCTGCACTTTCTAACTGTTTATGTGGGGGAGGTGAAGGAAGGGGATGAAGTTTTCTCCTCAACACTTGCAGCAAGGTAAGCTCTGATAGGGGTATCAAGCCAGGACCAGTGTCTTGTCTTTCCAGGTCAGGAATGACACATGTTGACAAAGAAGCAAATACTGATCTGTCAGGTATATTCACCTTTAAATCAGTGGTTAATGTGAATACACATTTTATTAAACACATTCAACTTTCAGGCTTCGATTCAACATTCCCTTATTTCCCAGTGATGCTTTTATTGGCTGACTTTAGAAGGTGAACTCATTGCAGCACAGCCCTGCACAACTCTGCTGTCACTGCACTCGGTCTCTGAGCAGTGTTTTATGGGCACTTTTCTTTAATTCCTGTTACCTGGTTCAGTGCCAGCACTCTCACAGAACGGGGCATGATGGCTTGGCTTCATTAGGTGTGCAGTGTTTTTCCTTCCTCTCTGTTCCTCTTCCCTCAAGCACTTTCACTTCTTGGGCTGGGGGAGAGGAGTGGATGAATGTTCCAGCTCATAATAATGACACTCCTACACGCTGTAGAGGAGATTCAAGACTTGGGGAATAACCTGGGATGCATTCAAAGGCTGTAAATGGCTCTCCTGGAAGTGGAGAGCTGAATCAAAGGCAGAATATATTCTGGAACTTCAGAACTGGTCCAGTTCTCACTCCTACAGAGAGTTCAGGATGCTCCTGTGGATAATGACAGACTCTTTCCACAAATTCCCTTTCCATCGTGGCTGGGTGTGCGGCTGTGCTAGTGAGGAGGACAAACACAGAGGCTGATTTACCCTGCAAAGTCACAGCCAGGGTTGCAAGGGGAGCTGAACAGAGCGTGTTTCACGGTGGGCTGCACACACATTTCTTTTTTTTTACATCCAAACCTGTCACCTTCAGAAAGCAGCTCATGCTCGATGGTGCTGATTTCCATGTGTTTCCGTGGGCATGAGCTGTGGTTTGAAAGCAGCTTCCTCCTTCAACCTGTTCAACCCTTCACCTCAGTTTTTTTGTAGATGTTGACTTACAAGTATGACAGTATGAGAAGAAACCACTAATGGAGAGAGCTGCCCTTCCCACTGTTCGTTTCCTTGCCAAAATAGCTTGTCTCCTATTTACATCCTCTCCTCCTCGTCTCTCTGCTATTTCAGTAGCTGGTCTGGCGCCTGTTTCTGAGGGATGATGGACCTGCATCACTCAAACATTTGCTGCAGGAGCATTTCAGTGCTGGAGAAACATCTCAGCCTTTCTGAGTCAGCCCCCGATGGTTTCTTTTGTACTTTACAGTCTGTGAAGGGCGGAGTGGGAATCATGGCGAGAATTGATGCCTGGGGGTGACCATTTGGCACTGGAAGTGAACAGGACAAGTGCCTAAAACAGGCACCTCCAGCAGCCAGGGCTCTCTGCCACTGCCTGGAAAGCATCTGGTCTCCTTTGGGGGTGCTTTAAAGATATTACTGGGCTGATCTTAAAATCTTTCTGTGCTCCACCATCATAGAGACCGCTGTGACCTTACTGTGTTTCGAATGCCCCTGGATCAGGGCAGGGGTTTCAAGTTTAATTTCCGCAGTCCCTGGATATGGCATTTGCAGGCTCATGAGCCTGAGATCAGCTCCAGGGCAGCTTAACACCAAGGAGCTGCTGACAGGTGCAGGGAAAGTAGGTGAGGAGCAGTCTGGGCAGGCTATGGGAAATTTAAAGTGTGGGATTCATAAAGGAAAAGATCTTGCAGGGAAGATCCAGCCTCAGTCCCTTGAGAAGGAATAAGAGAAATTAATATTTTTTTAATCTTTCACTGATGGTGCTTGGACTTTGTTAGGTTATTTACTCCCCTGCTGCAGATGAAACTGCTTATGTTTGAACACCCACAGACACTTCAAGAAACACACCGGTAAACTTGATTTCCAGGAAAGAAAAAAAAATCAGGTTGTGAAAACCAGGTGATGAGAACAATATCCGTAAGAGCATTCAAAAAAGTACCAGCTCAGTTGTTTTTGCAGCTCAGCAACAGCATCGTCAGCAAAAATTTACCTTGTCCTGAGCAGTGTGCAGAATATTCTGAGGCACATTTGATACAAGTTGAAACCTTTTGTTCCAAAACAGCTCTTGCAACTGTGCTCCTATTTGATATTTAAAAAGAACCAAGGAAAGTATCAGCTTTCCATCCTCTTTTTTTATTTTAGTGATCAAACCCGGTTGACATCTTGAGGCCGCACCTAGAGCAGAACACTTCTCACTCTAAGGAACATTTTTTTCTAACTTGTGTGTAAGTCTTTTCTCAGGTTAATTGACCTGGAAATTATTACAGAGGCTCAGAGCAGACCTGTGTCTGTGCCACCAAGTAAAACCAGGCCAGGAGGTAACACACCGTTTAACTGCTGGCAGGTCTCGTAGTCTGATTCCAGTCTGTGCAGTCCCCACACCGATGAGGAAGATGGAGATGGAGAAAGAGGGGAGGTCTCAAGACACCACCAAGGGCTGAATTGTCTCCTCTGGTACTTCATTTGTCCATGAGCTTGTGTGTCCTCAGTGCAGCAGGAGTGAAGGTGGAGGCAGCCCCGAGCCATGGGACACCCTCACCCTTCAGTGCTGTCCCTGCAGCAGATCCAGCAGGGCCAGGGCAAGCAGAGGGTGCTCCTGTGGGACCAGCCCCGTGGTCAGAAGTGGGTTAAAAGGAGGCCACAGGAAGGTTTGTGCTCTAATTTTGCAGGTGCTGGAGAAAGGCTTCTTTCACTTGGCAGAGAAACTCTAGAGATGGCTCTGGGATGAGGCACAAAATGAGTGTTTTGTTCCTTATTACGCTGTTTGTGATTCTCTGGTGATTTGGAGCACCCTTGTCACACACGTTCACTAAAAATCAGATCCAGCTGTTTAGATTTGATATGGAATTTAAGGAGGACAACATTTTCATAAAACCTGAGAGCTTGAGAATGATTCTCCCAGGGAAGAGAATTTGGCAGGGGAGTATTACAATGGGCAGTACTAGTAATGGCTTTATTGTTATTACTAATAGAAATAAAAGGAGATACAGGAGCACAGTAACTGTTAATGGCAAGCAAAGGTAAATTGCAGGAAATTATATTCCTCTAAATGAGTTTAGCCAAGTTTCTGGCTCCTTCAGTAATTCATTGCTGCAGTGAGCAGGGGAGCAGAGGCAGCTGCTGTGTCATGGTTGGACCATCAGTTGCCTTGTGCTGTTGGTCCCTAATGACCAAGAATGGAATTGGGGCAGCTCCAAAAGCTCCAGAGCCTCATAAAACTGAGAGTTGGGTCTTTAGCTGTCAGAGGGTGACAGCCTTTGGGGAAAGGTGTGGCTGGCCTGGCTGGGAACCTCTTGCCCACGTTGCTTCCTGAAACAAAACCAGCCTGCTTGCCCTGTCTGTCACCTGTGCTCGTTTCCTCATGTCCAGTTTTAAGAAATTATTGTCTGTGATGATTGATCCTTAACCACATGCAGAGTTCATTTATTAGTTCCTTAATCTGGGGGTTTGGTGGCTTTTTGTAGTAGCCAGGCTGATATTTTGGATGACTGGCAAGGACCCCAGCGCTCACTGCTCACGTCTAAGAAACTAAAAATTTAACCCTGTTAAATTTGTCATCCTGTAAAGGCTGAAGAAGGACTTTAATCCTTAGCAGTGAGAGACTGTAACTGTGTCACCTCGGGTGCTGCAACACGGCTTCATGCTATAACATGTTTCATTCTAAACATTTCGTGGGGGACAGAAGCCTGGGGACAAAAGTGATGCGGGAGGGGGGTGGGGTTTCCCAGGGGATGAATCAGCTGGAAAGCGGCTCAGGAAGGATCTCATCTTGGCGCAGCTGCTGCTCTGGGAGCCGAGAGCTGCCGGGGAGCAGCTGACAGGAGGGAGGAGATCGGTGCGAGGGGTTGGTGTGTCGGGTTTCCAGGCAGGGCACGTGTGGGCAGCGAGAGCCCCGAGCGCCTCCGCTGCTCCAGCAGCTCCCGCCGAGCCGGGGCCATGGGGCAGGTGGCTTGGAAGGCTCTGTTCCTGTCTCTCTTTGACTACAAGACCGAGAAGTACGTCATTGCCAAGAACAAGAAGGTGGGGGTCCTCTACCGAGTGGTGCAGCTCTCCGTGCTGGCTTACCTGGTGGGGTAAGGATCGCCCTGTGCTTCACGTGTGCTGCTGGGGTTGCCTTTGCTTGCTGTGCTGCGCTGAGGAGCGGTGCGGGACGCTCTGCACACAGGCACAGCCTGCTGCGCCTCCCGATCTTGATGCGGATAGCTGGGCACGTTGGTACAGCTGCATTTTGTAGTGTCTGGTAGGTTATACCTGATTTTTCACCTGCTAGGGATCCCTAGGTTCGGCTCTACCTTTCAGATGAAGGTCTGGTTAAAAATAGCCCCGGTGCCACTCGGGCTTTGCACTGCATTATTTATACCTTTATTTCTGTATGCGGTGGGAATGGAGCCAAAGCTTAACACCTGACTCGTTAGGAACAATAGCATTGAGGGCAACGGTGCCGAGCCTCGGGACACACCTGGGTTATCTGCAGGACAGCACAGCATCCTCAAGCCTAAACGGGAGGGAACCCAGCAGAAAATGGGGGATTTCTCTGCCGGAGTGGGCTGCAGCAGCCGGGACTGTGGGGGCTGAGGCAGCGGGAATGTCGCTGCCTCGCATTCATTTCAGAGCAGGGCGAGCTGGCGTGGAAATAGCTGGAGCAGCACTCAGGAAAGGCCCAGTGCTGCAAGAGGCTGGTCACACTGGCACGTAATGGGCACTGTGATAGTCCTTGCAGGCTCAGACCTGGAATTATCCAACCTATGTGATGCTTGTGCCATCGCTTCCTGAGTTTCTGAGGCTTTTCAGAATGTGATACCTAAAGCCTGTACCCTCACTCTTTGTGCTCCTGAGTCCCTTCACCTTTCTTGCACCTCGTGTTTTCACTGATTAAATATAGCAGAGTCATTTTTACGTGCTGGGTTTATTTTTAGAAGGCTGTGCAGTCCCAGAGCCTGCTCCAGTGAGCAGAGCACGAGTGAAGTCTCAGCAGTCTGGCACGGGCTGGCTGCTAAAGGAGCAATCCTGTGGATAACATTGCTGAGGACACATCCTCTGTCCAAGAGGGATCCAGCATGGCCAGTGGCTGTGAGTGGTCAGAGACTGCCTATTTTCCTCCCTTGGCACCTCTTGCCTTCTGCAAACCCTTGGCACTGATGGTCCCTGCAGTGACTCCCAGGCTGGGGTTACAGCTCAGGAACCTGTTCAAAGGCTGGCTTGGGGTGGAGATCATCCAACCCCTCTGGATTGTTTCCTGCAGCTGCCATTTCTTCCACCATTCACTGCAGAAAACAAGGGTCTGCTTTTGAGCCCTCCTGGGAGAGGAAATAGGTGTTCTCAGGAAAATGGGAAAGCAGGAAACTTCACAGGTGTGGGGAGTGTTGTTATCCAGGTTTGTCACACGTAGCAGGTAAAGGGCAGTGTTGCCAGTGCTACTCAGGCTGGGATGGCCCTTTCCCTTCCTGAGTGCCCTGCAGGTCAGTGCACTGCCCAGGGGAGCTGTGCCAGCACAGCCAGCCTGTGTCCCTGTCCCCAAACCTGCCCCAGCACCCTCAGCTTCTTCAAGGGTCTGAGTGATTTGTTGACCCGGCAGGTGATTTTGGCAGTACTGTGGGGAAGCTGGAAGAATTTCATTTAAACCAGAGGTTTTCACCCAGGGAAATGGAATTCTTGCTGCTTCCAGTGGAGGGAAGTAAGCAAAGCCTTTCCTTGGGCTGCTTGGCAAGGCAGCAGCAGCTCTCCCAGGTGTGCAGTCAGGTTGTTACCATGACAGCAGCTTACAGAGGATCCTGTATCCAGATGAGAATATTCCCTACAGGTTAGGAGTCTGCAGCTCACCTGCAGGAGTTCCATCTCCCCAGCCATGGATTGTTGCTGACCAGCAGCCCATTGACAAGGGGGTGAAGTGGGAGAGTTGTGCACTTGTGAAACCATCCACACTCCTCACTGCAACCTGCAAAAAGCTTGTTTTGTTTCTCATCTCGAGGAAGGCAGAGCCCTGCCCCCCCCCTCTCCTTTTCTGAGGTTGCTGAGTGTAGCACAGGACAGGGAGGTGGGAGGCTTTGGTTTTTTTACCTCATGACCAGTTATTACACATTTCCCTGCTGTGGATAAGCACAGCTTGTGTCAAAGAGTTAATTCTATATTTGTGGCAGTAGTTGCAGAGGGTTTGGTGTCATTGGCATGCTTTGATTTGCTCCTGGATGGTCTTTGACCTTGGTGTGAATCTTCTCTGGTTGACTTGTTTCCTGAACCCCCCCCAATGCTGCTGCCTGCTGTGTTCACACAGGTGGGTGTTTGTTGTCAAGAAAGGCTATCAGGACACAGACACATCTCTCCAGAGCTCTGTCATCACCAAGCTGAAAGGGGTGGCCTTCACCAACACCTCGGAGCTGGGGGAGAGGCTGTGGGATGTCGCAGACTACGTCATCCCTCCACAGGTTGGCATGGGAGATGGAAAGAAAATGTGGTGCAACTAAGAGTGATGAGGGTTGCTGGAAAAGTGTCTGGTTGAACCTGCCCTGCTGCTTCCTTGGCTTGGACACACTGAGATGCCCAGGGGAGAGGTGGCAGCAGATGTGGCCCAACACCAGCTGGAATTTGCCCAGCTGTGCTTGCCAGGGGCAGTTGTGCTTTCCCTGCATGGAAGGGTGTGGGGGGAAAACCAGGGTCCTGTGCTGACAGGACAGAAAGCTGTAAGATGAACAATTTAACTGCTTGTACATAAGAATAAAAACTCCCCCCAGACCCGTGACTGTGCTCTCTGCTTCCACCACTTTCAGTGCAAAGCCTCAGCCCAACGTGTGTGCAGCAGGAGGGTCGGGCAGGTGCTTGTGGTGCCTCAGTCCCAGTTGTGAGGACACTGAACAAGTGGGTGGGGTGCACCCCCAGGGATGAAATGGTGTCACTGACCAGTATGTGTGAATTGGTGTTTTATTGTTAGGTGCTCAGGGCTGCCCTGCCTCCCCCCAGACCCGTGGGCTGGCTCTCGTGGCTGTGTGTGCACCCACAGCAGGAGGGACCTCATCCAAACTAAAATCCAGACAAAGAGTGCTGTTGTATCTCAGCCTGGAAACCTTCTGAAGAGAGGGAGGTTGTGCTCTTCTGCAGAGAGCTGCATCCTCCTTGTAACAAGTGCTTCGAAAACAAACCAGGTTTTCTAACCCTTCCTGCTTTACTCTGTTTGTTTTAGGGTGAAAGCGTCTTCTTTGTCATGACGAATCTGATCGTGACCCCAAACCAGAGACAAGCCACCTGTCCTGAGGTAGGAAGAACTGAGCCCCTTGGCCCCCAGACCCCTACAAACCCAGGGGTAAGAACTCACAGAGGACACCAGGGGAGCAACGAGCAGAGGAAGGACGGAAGGCACACGGTTTTTCTCTGTAGTGGGATATCTCAGTTGGGGAATCAGACTGGTTACCGCAAACCTGGCAGGCTCAGCTGTCTTAATTTCCAGAGGCACTGATCGTGTAGAGCCTTCCTGACTCGAGGTGAAGGTGTTGGATTTCTGCCCAACCCAGGCAGTGACTGCTCAGGGTCAGAGAAGGCCACGGGAGAACGACTTGGAGGTGACTCAGTGCAGTTACTCTCAGGGTAGAGGAGGCTCTCGAAGAACCCCATCCTGGGAAGGGCTGAACGCTCAGGCTTTCATTCCCTTCCAGGCACAGGAGGGTTCTTGGGCCAGAGGCGAGAGGTCTCTGTGCCATGTGGAAATGTCCTCAGTGGAGAAGGGGCTGGAGCCTGGGGCAGGAGGGCGCTGGCTGCGCAGGGAGCGCTGTGTCCCTGTGGCAGAGATGGATTTTCCACGTCTCGGGCAGGGCAGGGAGCACAGCTGGATTGCTGAGGACGCGGCTGTCCTCTAGTGGCTGCAGGAACCCTGCGTGCAGCCGGGAGAGGGGCGGTTTTGGGCTGGAGAGCTTGCAGCTTAGATCCGAGCTAGGGTCATCTCTTAGGGTGAAGCACCGTGGCCTCCAGCCTGGTTTTGGTGAGTGCCAGGTGATGTCTGGGGTTTTTTTGCAGCCTGTCCCTCTCCAGACCGAGCAGAACCCGAAATCAGGACCGTGTGGCTGATTCCTGGTGTTGCTGGTGGTGTTATGTGCCGAGCTGTTTGCATGACCCACACTTACCACTTCAGCTGCATCTTTTTGGTGTTCGTATTGAAAGGGAGTAAACAATGTTAGCTTGAATTTTACCTAATAGCTTCAACTTTGTAACTTTGTAGTTCTTACTTAAACATTAGTTAACCATAGGGAGAAGAAATTTGAGAGATTAGCAAAACATGCAGCTCTGTTCAGTGCCCTGCACACCCCAGAGAACTAAAACAACAGGAGATTGTTCAGATAGACAAAATTAAATCAAGTCATGTCCATCTAAAGACTGATGTTGATGCCTTGTAAAAATAAGATATAAAACTATTTCAAGGATTATTAGGTAGAAGAAATTTAGATTATCTTTGACTAAAGATTGATGCTGGTGCCTTGTAACAATAAGTCTGTCAGGGAGGGACTTGGGATGCTGAAGCGTAGAAATGCTCACAAAATCCCTGTTTCAATATAGAGAATTCCCCCCACAGCAGCAGCACTTTCTTACCCCTCTGAGTCCTGTGTCCTGATGCAGGTCCTCAGAATTCCTTGATTCTGATCCTGTGATTCTCTTGCCCTTTGCAGAGTGCCAGCATTCCCGATGCCCTGTGCCACAGGGACGAGGACTGCCTGGAAGGGGAAGCAGTGGTGGCTGGCAATGGTAAGGGAAGGGTCCTTCCTCCTCTACTGTGTTTGGTGTCCTTCAGAGGCCTCAGCCTGGTGACACTCCCAGAGATCTCTGGTTACAGGGAGCAGCAAAGCCTTTCTTTTCTTTACCATCTTTTACTGAGGTTGCTGCCTCGATTCCAGCTCTGCGGTGGCTGGGCCAGGGCACCCCGGGCTGCTCAGAGAACCAACAAGAGAGTGTTTGTTCCAGCTGAGAGGCCCTTTCACAGCAGGGAGGAGGGAGAAAATCATCTATTTTCATGTGCCCTGTAGGCAAGGAGGGGAGGTGACTGCTCTGCGTGACCTTTTCTGTGTCTGCTCGCAGGGGTTAAGACTGGCCGTTGTTTGAAAGACAGGGACAGCACCAGAGGGACTTGTGAGATACTGGCCTGGTGCCCAGTGGAGAAAAGATCCAAGCCCAAGTACGTGGCCGTCCTATCCTGTTTCCAAGCTTGGGTTGCTCGGCTTGTGTGTCACTCAGGGCAGTTTCTGTGTTCCCTCTGCTTGGCTGCTTGCTGGATGTTGGCTGTTCAGTGCAGGAGGGAACTCTGACTGGCCCTCTGCTCCCCCTGCTTGGCTCACTGGCCGTCCCAGGGCTGTTCCCAGCTCTCGGGGTGTCCCCTCAACCTGCACCCTCCTCACCAACTCCCTGCTGGCAGCGTGGGGAAGGTGGCACGGCTGGCCTGGTGCCATCCAACCTGTTGGATGAGGCTGCTTCTAAAATGGCAATTCAAGATTTAGCACGTGGGCAGGGTACAGATGTAAGACAGAGAACAAACCCTTCTCTTCCAGGAAACCCCTTCTTGGCAGTGCAGAAAACTTCACTGTTTACATCAAGAACTCAATTCGCTTCCCCAAGTTTAAGTTCTCCAAGTAAGTGCAGGTGCCTGGAGATCCCTCTGTCCTCTCCACCAGGGAACCAATAACCTCTGTTTGCTCCACTGTCCTTCTCCTGCTGGAGGGGTGGGCTGGGGAGGTGGGTATCTCCTCTGCTTTGGCTTCAGGCTGTGCAGAAACAAGGGGATAATGAGGGCTTGGAGTTTCTCAGAGAGCAGACTGGGAGAAGGAAGGCTGTCCTTCCCTGGATGAGCTCTGGTGGTTCCTACAGCTTGGGATGCAGCACAGCTCCTAAGGCAGATGGACCTCTCTGCCAGCCAGAGTCCTGAGCTGCTTCTGCTCAACAGATATTCCTCCTCTTCCATAAAAATGAAGGTGCCTGGACAAGGCTGGGAAAAATGCAAATTTAAAAATAATTGTTTGCATTTGCTGCTGCAACACGAACAAACAAAGTTTAGTTTGCAGTGTAGAAAGGAGTGTGTTCTGGTTATTCTCCTGGGCTCAGATAGGCATTTTTAGCATCCTTATTGGTTTGCCTTGAGAAAACCAGGTGGCCCTGGAGCACTCTGGCAATCTGCTCCATGCCAGCCCTTTCTTGAGCCCAGATTCAGGTGGACAAGTCCCTGTCTGTCCTGGAGGTCATTTTGGGGGGATCAAGGCTGCTTTCCCTGGGCCAACAGCAGGGTGATGGGGCTGGTGGCACGGGGCCATTTCTGGGGCGTTGGAAAAATCTCTTGTCTCTGCAGCCTTGGTGCAGGCTGTGGAGGCAAGGAAAGAGGGACACAGGGCAGATTTCCCTCTTCCCCACATGCAGGATGAATGTGCTGGCAACTGACAACGAGTCCTACCTGAAGACCTGCCGCTACAGCGCGGAGCATCCCTACTGCCCCATCTTCGTGCTGGGGAACATCGTCCGCTGGGCTGGGGGCAACTTCCAGGAAATGGCCTTGGGGGTAGGAGTGTCCCCTGGGCTCACTGGTCTTCCCAGCTGGCTGTTCTGTGTGCTGGGTGGCCGTGAGGGCAGTCACTGTCTGCTGCCCAGGGAGCTGCCTCCTGTCCAGGCTGCACTGGAGAGTTGCCAGTGCTTGAAGCTGAGCTGGTCCCATTTATCCCGTCCCCAGGGAATGGGAGGCAGGGTGATGTGGGTCCTCTGCAAGAGCTGGTCGGGTCAGTTTTCTGTTATTCTGCCCAAACCTTTGCCAGCAGGGATTCTGTGTTTAATTTCAGCATTACTGCACCATTGGTTTAAACCCAGAACTTCAAGGAATTCCATCCCTGCATAAAATAGAATCTTCTCAAGGGAAGCGTGTTACAGCCACTTAAATTAGTGGAATCAGTGTCCTGGGAGAAAGCTACTCAGAAAGGAGCACAGGGAAGGCTGGAATTGTGTGTAGAGTAATGGGATTCATATCCCACCTGAACTGGGCCCAGCCAGGGGGGTGTGTGCTCATGTCTGGGACCAGAAGTGCAGATTCTTGGCCCTGGGGAAAACTCGCCCAAGGGCCTGATAAATTCGTAGACACTTTAACTGAACTAAGCTTTAAACAACTCACCCTGTCTCTCTCTTTTGTTAAGGGTGGTGTGATAGGAATTCAGATTGAATGGAACTGTGATCTTGATAAAGCCCCCTCTGAATGTAATCCTCACTATTCTTTTAGCCGGCTGGATAACAAGTCTGCAGAAACGTCCATCTCTTCTGGGTACAACTTCAGGTGGGTAAAGAGGAGGCCACAATCAGTACTGCAGTTGGGCTGGGCTGGTTTGACTTGCAGGAGTTGGAGGTTGGCAGTGGAGTGGCACCAGCCTGTGCCAGGCACTGCCCCAGCCGAGCTGCAGGGGAGGGAGGGAGGGAGCTGTGCTCCTGGCAGGCTAAAGCTGGTTTTGACAGGGGAACAGATCTGTTTGAAGAGTGAATTCAGAGGGGCAGATGGAGTTAAACCCAGCATTGTTGTGTTCCAGGTTTGCCAAATATTACCGGGATGCTGAGGGGGTTGACTACCGGACGCTCATTAAAGCCTACGGAATCCGCTTCGATGTGATGGTCAACGGCAAGGTGAGGTCTCAGGACAGAATATTCCGGAGGCTGGAGAGAAATTTATCTTCAGGGGACATTTCTCAGTGGGAAGGCAGCTCTGGGATGAGGGAAGCCTCTCTGGCTTGTCATAGGAAAGGGCTCTTTCCATCCGCCCGTGTGGAGCTAACCCTGCCTTAGGGAGGTGACCTGGAGTGCAGCTGAGCCTGCACCTCCTCTACCTAAAACCAGGCTCATGTAAAGCCTGACAGAAGTAAAAACGCCCCAGAGACTTATTTTCTATGCATATGCACTGCAGAAAAAACAGAGAAGCCTAATCCAGGGATGATGCAAGCTCAGAACTGCAGCCAGGGACAGTTGGATCTGAGACACACAGAGACCTTCAGCCTCCAAGATTGTTCACTGCGGATCTGCCACGGCTGTGTCTGCTCCATGGGAACAAAACACACCCACAGGCAGCAGCAGCAGCTTCCCCTGTGCAGTACCACACCCTTCAGTTTGTTCTGTGGGCTGTTCTCTCACTGATTGCTTCATGACTTTTCTTCTTCCAGGCAGGGAAATTTAACATCATTCCCACCATTATCAATATCAGTTCGGGGCTGGCGCTCATGGGAGCGGTAAGTGAATGTTTTCATTGGGATCCGATATGATATGTAGCTGTAAGAGGGAGAAATATAACATACATACCCCATAAAATGCTTGGAGAATGAATGAAAACACAGCTTCTACAAGTTATTCTTTAATTCATGCTCATTGCTAACGAGATCAGAACACTTCCTCTTCTATTCCAAAGATAATACACAAGTTCTTTCTCTTTGCAGGGAGCCTTCTTTTGTGACCTGGTGTTGCTGTATCTGATTAAGAAGAGTAATTTTTATCGAGGCAAAAAGTACGAGGAAGTGAAGTAAGTGAGGTTGACTTTGTGTTGTGTCATGGCTTGCTGTTATGAGTAATAGAAATAGGAGGAGATACAGGAGCACAGTAACTGTCAGTGGCAAACAAAGGCCAATTCCAGGGAAATATATTCCTCCCAATGAGTTTAGCCAAGTTTCTGGCTCCCTCTGTAATTCATTGCTGCAGTGAGCTGGGGAGCAAAGGCAGCTGCTGTGTCAGGGCTGGACTGTCAATGACCCTGTACTGTTGGTCCCTAATGACCGAGGGTGAAACTGGGGCAGCTCCAAAAGCCTCATGAAATGGAGATATGGGGGTTTAGCTGTACAGAGGGGCCTCTGGGGCAAGGTGGGATGGCCTGGCTGGGAACCTCTTACCCCTGTTGCTTCCTGAAATAAAACCAGCCTGCTTGCCCTGTCTGTCACCTGTGCTTGTTTCCTCAGGTCCAATTCCAGGAAGTCGTTGTCGAGTCCCACACCCAACGGGAATCAGAGCCCGGACCAGCTGGGCGGGCTGTGAGCACAGAGATGGCTCTGCCAGCTGGACTTGTGCTCCAGGAGAACCACACAGGTGTGAAACCACACCAGCACCGGGAGGTGGAGATCAGGGATACTGCCTGTTACCAGGATTCCCAGAGGAAAAAAAAAAAAGTGTCCTATAAAGACTGCCCTTCTTCCCTGAGATTTCCCTGGTATCCCGAGCTTGCAACAGTGTGTCGTCGCTATGGATTTATAAAAGGATTTTATAAAGGGACAAAGAAGGCACCAAATGAATGTTTTTATATCCACTGGTAGATATATCTGTACCTACGCCCATAGCCAGCGTTGTCCCGTGGCTGTGCTTTGATTCCACGCGTGGAAGAGCTGTGATGGGAACCACCAGTGGCACTTTGAGAAGGGCTGAGGCTGAGCTCCCACCTGTCTCCTCCTCCACTGCCTCCCAGCCACCGCTCCCAGCTCCAGAAAAAGCCTTCCCAAGGTGCTCCGCTCGTCTCAGGAGCAGCAGGAGCAGGTCCTGCCCAGAGAACCATGGCTGGGGCTCAGCTGCCTCACCTGCTGCCCCATCCCTGCCCCCAGCTGCCTCAGACAACCAACATTTCAGAGCCTGCAGGGCTCTGCAGCAAGGCAGGACAGACAGCTTTGGGGTTCCTAGTGAGAGAAAGGGGGTTAATGCACTGAAAAGCAACACAGCCCCAGGAGCACCTGCACAGGGGTGGGTTTAGGTTCTGCCTCCTTTGTTCAGTGCCCGGTTTCATTTGCTCTGTATTGTCCTTCCTGCTCGTGCTGGGGAGGTCTGGATGGGGCACTTAAAGCTTCTGTGTTTCTCACAGTACCCTGAACTGCACTGCAGATGGAAGAGGGGAGCCTTGCCAGGCTCCCCCAAATACACCAACAGCAGGAAAATGTAAAGACATCTGTGCTACTTCAACATTGGGAACTTCCAGGAAATACAAGTGCTTCTTTGTTTCTCAGTAGAGAAATCAGTCTCACTGCAGCCCATTTTGTCAGTTTATGCTCATGTGGAGATGTAACTAATTTCAGAAAAGGGCTTATAGAGCATCATTGTTTGAAGTTTGCGTTTTCTTAAGCTGACAGGAACTGACTCACCAGCTCCTGAAGACAGCAGTGAATCAATATTTCTGCCTCATTTAGAGCTTGCACAGCGTGGCTCAGCACAGGCTGAGCAGAGTTCTGAAGTGCTGACAGTCACCACTTACTGGGAGTCCTTGTGATAACTGATTGAATGTTCCTGTGCACTCTCTGAATTCCAAGATTTAAAGGGCTCCTGCTGCAGTGTCCTTACACATTTCTGGACAGAGGGAAGGTGGCCTTCAGGGAGCTGCTGCCATCGAGTGTCTGCACAAAACAGCACCAGCAGCTGCACCCACCTCTGCTGTAACTTCTTTGAAGTGGTTATTCTGAGGTACAGGTTGATTCTAAATTAAAATTCACCTCTGTTAGCAGTGTCAAACTCTGAATCCAGTCGTTGATAGCAACTCCACCCAGTCTAGTTCACTCCCTCCCTCTGCTTCTGTGTATTGAGTGAAAAATGTAGCTAGAAAATAGAACAGTGAGGTAATTTAGGATAAGCTGTGTGCCTCTGACCTCATCCTAAACCTCTTCTCTAGGCAAACACCACTCACCACGTGTGTAACTGCACTAGTCAGGCCTTTCAGAGTTACAACAGCCCAGGCTTTTGACTGTCAGGGGTTAATTCCACTTGAGTCATTTTTAGATGGTGAAATACACAGTGAACCCCACATGTGGCATCAAGCCCAGGCACAACCCATGGAGACCAAGTTGTTCATCACACCACGCAAAGCTGACTGTGCTCTGCTGAAACCACTGTTTTAACTTGACAAAACAACCTCCTCTTGTCAGAGGACCAAAGCTATTTCCTGAACTTAAAGTCCTGAGGCCTCTGAAATTCCCTAGAACGTTTCCCTTCTTCATACTGTTTAACACAATTCCCAACAACCCTTGCTGTTAATAAAACATTGCCAGATTCCTTCTCAGGAGCTTGTTTCTTGAGTTTGATTTGGGTTTTTTTCTCACTGTATTGAATGCACAGCATTAAAATGTGTCCCTTCAGGGCAGTGCTCCCCAACACTGTTCTGTACAGGCTGTATCAGGTTTCACACATCACCTGCTCCTGGTGACACACTGATGTAAGAAAGTCAATTGAGCAGGGGCAGGGCTAGAGGGAAGGTATTACCTGTATGGTGGTTGAATTGTCTTCTCTGGAACCACAACACTGCACTGATCACTTACAGAACATGCCAGCAGGGGTGGTGCTTGTCTGTGGATCATTTGACAGAGCAGTACTGAAAGTGAGTGAAGTGTTTGGACTTGTGAGAGCACCATTTAGTGACTTTTCTGGTGGACAGTGTCATTTGTGGTTACATGCACAGACAGCAACTGTGGAAGAGAACCAAACCTTTACTTACACCTAATTACGTGATTTCCTTGTGTCAGTGGATTATTTCAGAGCTGTTACACACTGCTCCAGCAGGCCTTGTGTGTAGGGGCAGGCAGCAAATCCAGAGGGGACTGTAACTGGTGCATCTTACCCAAAAAAAATGACACAAGGGATTACATCAACCAAACCCACGTCTTTTAGGGACAGAAATTATCACTTAGCTAGCAAACAAACACTCACAGGAGGCGTCCAAGTGGTGCTTCACATTCAGTTTTAATTAGAACAGTGCTACTGATTAATTTGGACATAATTTACCGACAGCATTAACGACACGAGCCACGGAAAAGAGCCTGGAAGGTGAGCCGGCCTATCGTGTAGTGACTTTTGGCAACAGTCCCCGTGCCCCGCTCAGTACACGTGGACCATCCCGTAGAGGAAAGTCCAGAACAGGACGTAGGTGAAGAGCCCCCCCACGAGCCCCCCCGTGAAGAGCGGCCGCCGCGACTTGAAGTACTTGTTCCACCGGCGCCCGGCCTTCAGCACCAGCAGCACGGAGAGCAGGACGGAGGCCAGGAAGTAGAAGATGAAGCCGTGCAGGCCGGTGAGGCCCAGGATGCCGGCGGTGGCGCCCGACAGGGCGGACACGGAGGTGCGGCAATAGTCCAGGATGGCCGCGTTGCCCCGCACGGCCGCCTCGCTGATGAACTGCGGCCCCTCGCGCTTGGCCACCACGCCGGCCATGGCTCCCCCGCGGCGACCTCCCGGGGTGGCACTGCGGTGAAGCACAGACAAGGCTGGACGAGCCCGACGAGGCCGTGCGAGCCCCGAGCCCGCCCTCAGCGAGCCGGCCCCTCAGCGGCCCTCCCGCCCGCCGGTACCTCTCATCCACGGCGGCGCGCAGCTCCGCGGGACCGCCGCTCCGCTACGCCTCGCACCCTGCCAAGGGACAGCACACAGCGCCCGTCACCGGGCCCCACCGCCACCTCCCGCCCCGCCGGGCCGGGCTGGGCCGGGCCGAACCTCCCGCCCCGCGGGCCCCGCCGGGCCCGACCCGCACCTACCGCGCCGCCCACACCGCCCGCCCGCCATCTTGGCGCGGGGGCCCACGGGACGCGGACGCGCGCGGGGCGCGCCGCGGGCGGGGCGGCACCCGATTGGCTGGAGGCGGGAAGGGGGCGGGGCCGGGCGAGGCGCTTTTGTTCGGGCGGCGACGTGAGGGGAAAGAGAGAGAGGGGAGAGAGAGAGGGGAGAAAGAGATGGCGTTTGTGCCGGGACAGCCCGTCACCGCCGTGGTGGTGAGATGAGACGGGGGTGATGATGGCGTTTGTGCCGGGACAGCCCGTCACCGCCGTGGTGGTGAGCGGGGACGGGGGGCGATGATGGCGTTTGTGCCGGGACAGCCCGTCACCGCCGTGGTGGTGAGCGGGGACGGGGGGCGCGGGGGGAGATGATGGCGTTTGTGCCGGGACAGCCCGTCACCGCCGTGGTGGTGAGATGAGACGGGGCGGGATGATGTCCATCCCCGGAGGATGTCCCGGGGCAGCCCCGCTCCGTGGCTGCTCGGAGGGAGCGGGCGAAGGGTGCGGAACGGGACGGGGCCGGAGGTGGCGGTGCCGCCCGGCAGCGCCCCGGGGCTGTCAGCGGGCGGAGGTGCCCGGCGGGGGTGGGTGCCGGTGCGGGGAGGGAGCGGGCGAAGGGCGCGGTCCGCCCGGCCCCGGCTGCCGCGGGGGCTGTCAGAGCTCGGCCGGCCCCGCCGGGCGCTCGGGACACAAGCGCCTCTGTGCGCCCGGGTGGGAGAACCCAGGGAAAGGTCCGCCGGTCCGAGGGACGGACCCCTGCCCAGGCCCGCCGGCTGCTCGGGTGTTGCTTGAGAAAAGAGGGGACGAGTGGCCGTGATCGGCTGAAGCGCCTTCTCCCGGTACCGGGAGCACCAGGGGCAGGATAAAGCACCTGCTTGCCTGGGTGGGGTTGGGGAAGCAGAGCTTTTAAAGTGAGGTAACTGCACACAACGCAAGTGAAGGACTTTGTGCCTTCCAGTGGTTGGAGCATTAAAGGTGGTTGTGCCCTGGGAGTGTGACTGGTACCTCGGCTGCAACAGGCTGCACAGCACCCCCGTGTCTGAGAGCTGACAGCCCTGAGGACATCCTGCTGTGGATCCCACTGTGGATCCACTGATCCCAGTCAGTCTGGACCCCAGGAGGGCCTGAGTCCAGCACCTGTGAGGAATTCTCACAGAATGGCTTGAGTTGGAAGGGACCTTTAAAGGTCACCTCATCCAGCCCCTGGAATAAGCGGGAACATCTTCCACTAGATAGGCTGAAATCACCTTTTGAGAGGTTATTGTGTCAGTTAAGACCGTGGCTTTTCATCCTGGCTCAGGAATTGCTGGCATTTGTACAATGCTGACATAATGCATAAAGCTTGTCAGATGCCTGTGTGCATCTGGCAGCGAGGAACCTGCCCCTGGATTACAAAAGTGTGGATAAGTTACCCTGAAAAAGAACCATCCTAATAATAGGTTGTCATTTCTGCTGATAGGACTAGCAGGAACACAGGGCACGTGGGTAACAAGTGAGATGAGGCTGGTCATGAGTGACTGCTGGTTATCAAGGCATGAGTCATGTTTAAAGAGACCTGCTCTGGTTTTAGTGTTGCTCCCTTCTATCCCCAGGCAGGGGATAAAGCTCTGAGTAATTAAGGTGCTTGGCTGTGTCATGGCATGAGAACCCTGGGGCTGAGCACAGAATGGTTTCCTGTCCTGCTCCTCTGTGACAGAACAGTGCAGAGCCAGCTGCTGTCAACACCAGGGCTGTGTGTGGCTGACAGCAAGTGCCAGAGGACAGTTCTGTGCTGCCAGGGGGTTCAGAGCTGTCTGGTTACAGTACACAAGGGTACCAAGCTGTGGGCAGCCTCCTCTGGTGGGTGAAAGACAATCTCTGAAGTATCTCTGTCTGAAGCACACAAGATTCCTTCCAGTCATCACAACACTGAGCTATTTTATCTCCTCCTCTTTTCAGCAAAGAATTGAAATCCATAAGCTTCGGCAAGGTGACAATTTGATTCTGGGATTCAGCATCGGGGGTGGCATTGATCAGGACCCTACTCAGAATCCTTTCTCTGAAGACAAGACTGACAAGGTCAGATGCTCTTTCCTGCAGCAACTCCTTCTCCAAAAGGCTGAGGGATCCAACTCAGCATCTGTCTTTGTCCTCTCACATCACTACTACTGAAGTTGCCTCATTATCACTTGCAAAGTGAAGTTGTTTAAATGAGCTCTCCACCTATTCTATTGTCCAACATTGCACAAGCCTTTTTTTTAACTAGAATTCCATAAATACACTACAAAGTATTTTTGCACTGTAGTAGAGTGGCCCTTGAGTATTTAATGCTGCCATCTTTAGTGAATGAACACTTCATTTTTTTCCCAGGGTATCTATGTAACAAGGGTGACAGAGGGAGGCCCAGCAGAAGTTGCAGGACTCCAGATTGGAGATAAGATCATGCAGGTAAACACCCAGATAACACAGTACTAACACAGCACCATGTGCACACAACCATCTGCTGGGGGAAAACAGTCATCTGGGTACTTGCCAGGACAGTTTGTGGGGTTTATTTATCAACTGAGCTGTGGCATAAGCATATCCACTGCATGGTTCTGACAGAACACCAACAGGACACCTGTGAGTCCCTGCACTTGCCTCATTTTGTGGTTTTTTCCTCCAGGTGAATGGCTGGGATATGACAATGGTGACCCATGACCAGGCCAGGAAGAGGCTGACAAAAAGGAACGAGGAGGTTGTCCGGCTGCTGGTGACCAGGCAATCCCTGCAGAAGGCTGTGCAGCAATCCATGATGTCCTAATCAATCATGGAGCTGGGGAAGGGTTAGGGAGGGAGATGTATAGACTGGTATCAAAGAAAGAAGCAAATGCTAGACTGGAACAGGTTGTCTGGAAGGGGTGCACGTTCCTACCTGTGGTAAACACTACTTTTTAATTTTAACTTCCTCTGGTGTAACTGGCAGCAGTAAAACAATAGTCCCCATCAGCAGAGTGCTTCTCTAAAGTCTGCCCTGCAGGTACATGGCAAGACTTTTGTCATTGTGGCTTTTGGGACAGGACAAACTCTACTTACCTAAGAGCAACTGGAAAAGCCTTAACTTTGACAGGGTTCTCCTGTAACAAAAAAGCTTCCTATTTTAAGAGGAAATGTGGCTTCTGCTATGAAAAACCAGAGGGTTTGCTGTGCCTAAGCTTTTAGAAGTGAGCTGTCCTGTCCCTTCCATGCTATCAAATTAAAATGCCAGAATGAAGAGTTGCACACTGCTGTGGGGAGGAGCACTGTACTAACCCCACACCGTGTGAGGGCTGCAGAGTGTGCTAAAGGGTTTGGGGCATTTCAGCTCCCTGCAAAGATCCCATGTACAAAGCAGCCTCTTCAGACAAGAAACAACTGAGTAGCACAGAAATGTTAAAGAGTAATCCCTGGGAAGAACACTACAGCTTCATGGACACTACAGTTCAGCCTCCCTGGCAGACTAAAACCTTAATTCTCCTTGTTCCCAAGTAATTTGGAGCATCAGATGAACTGAGTTTAAATTAAAGGAATATGGAGCAGGAAAGAAAACAATGTTGCTGAACTTACCAAAAAAAGCTGCTTGTATCCATTGAGTTTTCAATTCTTCCTTCCACTTCTGTCAGTCTTGAAATGGGGAGGGGTGGATTTTGGTTTGTCTTCTAGAAGACTTGGTATAAATCAGTGATTTATTGGATGGGAGAGATGAATATGCCAGTAACTTGCAAAAGTGCCTCTTGACCAAATTTAAACTTCTAGTAGGACACTAAGTTGGTTAAATCAACATGCCACAGGATTGAGGATTCTTGCTGCAACACTAAGTTCATGACCTGGCATCCTGTGGTTGGTTAGCCAGCCAGCTTTACAGTTACCCAAAAACTGGAGTTTTTAATCCTCTTCAGTTGATTTATACATATCTAGACTTTCCTTCAGCAGTCTTCAGGTAAGCTGTTGTAAATAGAACACGAGGAGGTGGCAGACTAACTTATTCAGTACATTACTGCTGTGCCATGTTGTGATTGATGCATCTCAGACTGTTCTGTGCACACCAGCAGATGCCTCTTTACCAATTTTATATCTATGGAATGACTACAATCCTGCTTTTGAATTTTTGTAACTTAAGAATTCCGTGGTAAATTTTAAAGCCTTTCAAGTTGAAGTTATTTTTGTTACTATAAAGGATACACTGCTATTTGTACTGCTATTTCACTTGATTTTACACACAATAAAACAAAGTTGGATTTCCTGAGCTGTTTCTCCTTACATTTAGGAGTGCCACATCACTTGGGTGCCTCCAGCTGAGACCTTTTGGCTGGCTTGGAGTGTGGACTGAGGTCAGTAAGGTCTGGTGTCACTGGTGGGTAGTTGTGGTGTTACTGAGCTGTCAAACTTCACCTGGGTTCTAGCAGGGGAGAACCTGCTTTTCCTTAGACTGACACCTATTAAACACATGAGGTTTTAAGCATTCAGTTATTCAAGCACAAATGCATGGATTCCCTTCTAGTTCTTTTAAAAGGTCTAACACTTACCTTCCGACTTCAAGACCTTAATCTCTACCTAAGGTACCACGTGCAGTTAGAAAGTTGCCCAGGAACAAAAGCTTATGCTTAAACTCTAATCATGGGGCTGTTAACATGGCCCACTCCTTTGACAATCTTTAATCTTCACCATCCACCCATCAGGATTTAAGGCATGTCAGTACAACTGAGCAAAATGAAGTTAGCAACCAGAAGTATTCTGAGCACTTGTCTTAGCACCTTTGAAAGAGCTTTTAGTGAAATAATAGAAATAAGAATACAGTTTCTGCTTCTTAGAATTTTTTTAATAAAGAGTTAAAATTCGAATATTTGTGCATTTGTTACCAACCCCATTATTGTTGTGTCCCAGTCTGGCTGTTAACTGCCAGCCTGAGTGGTGCTGTGAGCTGTCTGAGGAGTCAGCAGCAGCACTTGGATCCACAGTCTTCAGTCACTCCACTAAGATATTAAGTGGTTGCTTGAACAAGATCTCAGATTTCTGGAAGACAAAACTCTGTTCTTTGTGCTTCACTCCCAATGAGAAAGACATCACTCTGGTCTTTCCCTTCCCTTCCCTGTTGCTAATGAAAAAATAGCCACGTGTTGCTTGGAGTGCTCAGGCTAAAACTGTGTGTGCAGCTTCAACAGGCACGAGTCTCCCATGTGCAGGTGGTGGCCAGAGAGCTTGTCTGTCCTTAAGGCATCTGGTAATCAGTGTTTGGCAGGGCAACATTCCACACCAGAGAGGATCAAATTATAGACAGAGATCAGAATCAGGATTCCTGGTGACTGGCAGCAGGAATCTTGAAAGCCCTCAGCCAGTGTAGGGGTGAGTTCAGTTTAAAGTGATGTTTGTTATTCACAAGGTTCATACCCTCGTCTCCTGTAAAGGCAGTAGTGCTGGACCATAAAAACAATATCAAAGATGATGGAGAAGACACCCAGGCCAAACTTGGTTGGATCTCCAAAGATTAACTTCCACTGATCTGTCAAACACAAAATTAGAGTTAAGTCTAACTCCTCAAGTGCAGTCTTGTCTCAAGACTACGAGGTCATGCCATGCACATTAGAGAAGTTCATGATTATTACCTGGACTGCTTAGACACACCTTAGGACTGACTGCAGTGCACATCTTATGCAAAGTAATTAATAACTGTTCCTGTGGTTTCTTCAGAACAGCTACTTCATTTTGTATCTTGAGGGAGTATGAGCAGATTCTTTATTCCTTGTAAAAGAACAGCTCCCCATACCACAGCACAAACACCATTCTCCTGAGATAACCTGCTGGTTTACAGCTGCTTTATATCACCCCAGGAAGAAAGGCCCCAGCAGCTCAGTTCCAGGCTTACCATTGTTGTATGACTGCAGAAACATCTGGAGAAGGCTGAAGCTTCCACCAGTGAAGTCCAGTAACACATTCCCAATACTCCAGCCCTCAGTGCTTTTCCGACGGAAGTTCATGTACGCCTGGGATTGTAACACGGGGTCAGTCAGTGTGTCATGCACAGCCATTGGAGATGAACATTTAAAGCAGCTTCAGGTATAACTATGCCAGTTTTGTCACATTATTTATGTCATTAATAATCTCTGGTAGTTTAATGTAGCCAGACTTTCAAGAGCACGCACTGCAGGCTTAAGAATGTAGCATAAAAGCAAAAGAGTTCAGATTTACCTGAGGAAAATATTTTATCAGTGTGACTGCCAACTTGATGTAGGAGAAGCAGAATAAGAACTGTAGCCAAGTCATCTCCTCAGCTGCAGCAAGGAACAGTGTTGTGAAGGTGAAGATCCATGCAAGTGCCAGCAGTCCAACAACAACTTTGGATACTTTCTGCCCCGCTCTCTGAAAGAGAAACATGGATGCAGTTTGGTCTGGTCATAAATCCCCAGGCACTGAGATACAGTTTGCCCATGACTGTGCAACACTGCAGTCCAAACCTGTTTGACCAGTTAGGCTGGTGCCACATGGGAACTTCAAAATTAAACAAGTGCTACAGCAACCAGGTGCAGGTTTGCAAGAGCTGATGAGCAATATTCATATATTCATATCAATATTTTGAAACACTGTTGTCCCCTGAGTAAGGGGGAAACAATTCTGGAGAATTTATAGTGCATGGTCTGTAACAATCTCCCAATTTCAGTCTGATGATATGCAGAGTTCCTATATATCCAAAAGGCTGGTAATACCATTACGGTAAAAGATTTATGGTTGCTTTCTAATTGTTCACTTGAAAAGACTATTGCACCTGGCAGTGGGGACAGATGGGCTCTTACAGTTTTGGGTTTAGCATCACCAAAGAAAGAACCCCCCAAGAGAGAAACAGTTACCACCTTGTTCAGCTCAGAGGCTTTTACATGAGAATTAAACAAAGAACCACCTGACTGTAAAAATCAATGTCTCACCTGAAAAGGTGTGAATTGTAAAAGGGCATTTACAGCTGTTTCAGGATAAAAGAAGCTGGAAAAAAGCTGCAAGTCTGAATTGCTGTAATCTATATGCTGGCCAGAGATCTGCTTGGGAACTTTGTGAACCTGGCTGTTTGCCTCAGTTGTTATGAGTCCCAAAGGAGTTTAATTATAAGCTCAGAACATCCATAAGGCTGAAGCAGATACGGTCAGTGGAGCTGTTGCTAACTTAGGAAAGATGAAGGCAGCAGGATTGTGAAGCCTGGCTGCCGGGCAGGCAGTGAAAGTGCAGTGAGGAGGATTTTGGAGCCCTGAAGGAGCCGTGAGGTGCCCGGCAGAGGGAGCTCTGCCAGAGCCCACAGGTGATCCCAGCACCCAGACCCACCTCGTAGATGCAGCACTGAATGATGGTGAGCAGAGTCAGAGCTACTGCGTGGAGACTGAAGAAAACATCATTGATGGCCACGGGGTTCACCCCGCTGGGATAACTGACCAGGAATTCCTCCTAAAGGTAAGACAAACCAAAACCAGCCACATGTCTTAATGCCCTCCTGTAGATACCCAAGCCCTGGCAAGTATTTAGAGAGAATCATGCTCACCTTAATCAAGGGAATCCAGAAGAGGCCAACGTTAAACACGCTGTATGCTATAAAGCCAGTCAGGTTTAATGCTATAAAGTCAAAGCTTAGTCCAACAACACTGGAATAAGGGAGGAAAAAAAAAAAAGAGAAACATGATCAGAGCATTACAGGCAGTTCCAGGGACAGCTTGACCCTAAAATGTACTGATTTACAGGCAATTTCTGATTAAGCAAAAGCCTCAGGCATCGTGACAACACAATGCTGTGAGTTCACGAGGAAGCAAGGTGCAACAACACAGCTCTCACTGACCAGGTTGTGTCCCTGCTGTTTAACTTGACCCCTCTATAAGTTCAGCTTGTCTGATAAAGCCATTCCAGCCTGAAGCACCAGTGCATCTCTGCCAGAATAAATGCTTTAGTTCTCATATATAAGGACGTTTCTACTTAGAGTCACTTACTTTAAGGGGAGCTGGCCTAATGATGACACTGCAAGGAAGGGTCTGAGAAACAGCTCTCAAGGCTGCAACCTTTGAAAATGATCATCACAACTGGCAGATGATTTGCAACATCACACCAAAGGCAACGGGGAAGCCTCCTCTATCACAAATTAGTACTGGATGCCAAACCTTAGGATCAGGTGTCCATAGGATGCAATTACTTAGTTTCCCCTCACCTGCAGGTATAAAAGCTCACTGGGGCTGCAATTTGCCTTGTTTTTTTCCCCATCATTCCATGGATAATTCACAGTAACCGAGATGGATGTAACTGAAGCTATGAACAGGATTTGCAGGAGTGCTTAAGTGACTTGCAAACACATCTTAAGTCTCTTTACCTTTTTCGTCGCCAGTTCTCAAAGAGCTGAGGGTAAAAGGAGATGGACCAGGCAACGAAATAGATCCAGCCAATCACCTCATCAGCATATCTCACTATGATGCTGTGGATCACTTGGAATTGAATCCTAGGTCTGATGGTTAATGCAAAAAGGGCTAGTTAATTCATCTACTCACATTTTTTTCCAGGAAATTTTGTCTTGCTCTGCTTTGAGAGAGGAAATAGAGTTCAGGTGTTGAGACAAGACAATAAAGATTCAGTTGGTTGCAGTTGAGTCACTCCCCTTCTCTTTAGTGTCCTTGTTATGTCTGGGACACCTCCCACTCCTACCTCCCTTTCCTTCTTGCCTGACTCTTTCCTTTCCATATTTATACCACGGGAATGTTCAAAAAGGTCATCTCTTGCCTATGGCTTCCACTCTCCTAGCACAAGGTTCTGTCAGGCAAGAAAGAGTTGCACTTTCCCTGCTCTGTCAGCAAAGCCTCATGATCGTGTCCATCCTGTGAGCATCCCACGTGCTCACCTCTGCCTTTGCTTCGAGTCTCAAAAGCAGAAGCAAAACCAGGAAGTAAAACAGGAGCATCTTGTTGCTCAGTAACATCTGGGCAGCAAGGAAATACAGTCCAGCTTTCTCCATCTTGCTAGACTTTTCCTGGGAGGGAGAACTGGCACCTGTGAGCAGAGGGTTGCCCTAAACTAGAAAGCAAAGCACCTGCATGTCATGGTAGAGATGTGACAGCTGCACCAGGCTGTTAGAAATCCAGAGCAAAGCCTGCACAGAAAGATCAGTGTCCCCCTGGAACATCGACAACCAAATGCTTCCCAGACTGGAAAAATCTGGCAGGTAGTTTTCATGCTTTTGGGAAGGGTTATTAAAACCAGACTGAGAAGCTGTGATAATTCAGTTATCTTAGTAATTAAATCTAAAATACCAAGATTATCACTCTGCTTCCATGCCCTCTCTTTATCTGAACACCCTGGGGTTTGCTGGAGGTTGTCACATCTTCTCAACTACATCCCACTTTACTACAAGGAGGGAATAGTTACCCCAAAGTTTAGGAAGCTATAGGAGAGTAAGCGGAACTAAAAAACAGCTTCTCACCCAGTTAAGCTGGAATTAGTGGCATAAAGATAAACTGTTACTTGTCCAACATCATCTGCTTTCACTTGGAAGTCTGCTTTAGTGTGACCTGCAGGGAACTGTACCTGCAAGGCAAAGTAGAGGGAAGAGAAGGGAATTGCATCACACCAGCAGGAGCCTTTGTTTAAGGTCACAAGTCTATTGTCACTTACTTCACCAGGCAGTTCAACGATGGTGCTGTTCTTTGAGGAGTGTGTAATATTAAAAGTTATCACCAGTGTCTCATTTAATGGAGCCCTGTGAAGGCAGAAGAAATAAGTTAGGCTGGTGCCTGAGTTCAGAGATTGCTGCAGGGATGTGGGGGAGTGTCTGCTAAGCCCTCTCAGCAATGAGCAGCCCACGCACAGCAGTCCCTGCCTGGTACTCAGAGGAACACCAGCACCCAAGTGTGTGAGCATTGTACTGGTTCTTTTATCTGAACTAGAGAGGGCACGAGACGTTATGTGGCCACATTTTAGCTCCCTCTTCTCCATACAAGTGGCAGAGCAAAGTCACTGCCACCAGGATCCCACCCTTGTGCTCATTAACCCTTGGTGGAAAAGAGGGGCAGAAACAATGCACGTGTGCTTGGGGTGATGAAGGACAGGAATTACAGCAGTAAGACAAAACAAAAAACCCCTGAAAAAACCCCTCTCCAAGTGACACAGTCCTGCATGTCTTCCCTAGAGAACTCCACTGACCATTTGTCCTGGAGGTTTTCCTTCTATGAAATGCAAGTTTCTCTTAAGCATCAATTTTTAGAAATGGAGGAACTGTAAATTCACTTATGGAAGACAGCCCCTTGTTCCAAAGGGAAAGTAAAGCTGCAATTGTAATTTTACCTCAGAGAGATGGTGACGTTTGTTGAACTTCCACTTTCTAAAGAAACCACTTCAGGGACAGACAATACAATGACTCCATCTGGGGGGAAAAAAACAATCAAACACCCACACAAATCTCAATTACTATGAACAGCTCCTTCAGAAGAACAACCTATTTCCTCTTGTGCCATAGACATTTTGTCAATTGGTACCTGCAGTATCAGATCAGTCACATTAGTACACGTGAAACGCAGCAAAGGGAGTACAGCAACTAAAGGTGCTGAAGTTAAGGTGACTAAACAACTCAAAAGGAGAAGTAAATAACTGTCACTTGAACACGTTGCAAGGAAGCAATTTAAATATGTGAAGTGCAACAAAAGTTCATGCCAAGTGAAGGCTGTAGAATACTGCAAACCCACACTGATTCTTGATGTGATCTTAGTAATCTAAGAGTCATAAGATGCCCAAAATTTAGTTTTAAATTCTTTCTTGGATCACAAATTCAAACCAGGTACCTAGATGTCCAAGAGAATGTACATTTACTATCTTAACACTTCAAGAATCTCAAGCACCTTACTCACAGTGCTCTGAAATATTGAATTAAGGGCTGCATTGTACAACAACCCAGCTATGTTGTACCACATCACGGTTTAAGAGAGGCCAAGATTCCAAGTGCCAGTACAACCACTATCAAAACCTTAAGCTGGTCAGACATCATCAATTTTGACATGGAATCCAAGCCTATTTTATTCATTGTGTGTTTAAAAGACACAAGAGACAAGGAGAAAGAACACAGAACTATGTAAAAATAAGACCAGAAATGGAGAGATAAACAGTTTGCACAGATTGGCCTAGACACTTTTTTTTTCCCTCCTGTTGCCACATATTACACAGTGTTCTTAAGAAGATATTTCAGTGCAGGGGAGGTCCTCAGTTTATCACTGGCTGCATCCCAGGCAGTATTTAATCTGCTTCTACAGATTTTGCAGCGTGAGGCAAGGGCTCCCCCACAGCGGTGCCTGGGCAGAGAGAGCACTGACACCAAGCCAAGGTTGAGGTGTGAGAGAAGAGCTGATGGGAGCGCGGCCCAGGTATCCCTGGAGAGCTGTAATGGGATAACCGGAGAGCTGCCCCCCTTCCACCTCTTGCTGGTCTGGAGCCCCGCGGGGCCAAACCGGGATGACCCAACACTCACCGCCAGGCCCCGGCAGCACAAGAAAGAGGCTCAGCAGAGCGGGGAGCAGGCACCGCGTCCTCATGGTGGAAAAGCTGCAGAGAAAGCGGGGAGAAGCTTTGCTCAGGTCCCACAGCCCATCCCCTCGGGCGGCAGCCGAGGCAAATAGCTCCCTCGCAGCACCGCGGCCCCCAGCCCGGTCGAGGGACCCTCAGCACCCCTCAGAGAGAACACCGACCTCCCAGTCCCTCTGTGTGCCCGGACTCCCCGGGGGCATCTTTACGTTTTTACCTCAGCGCTTGTCCCGTGAGGAACCCCCAACCCCAACGCGCGTGACTACAAATCTCGGCAGCCCCCGCGCCCCCGCCAGCCCCCCGCCGCTGGCAGCGCGCCGCGGGGCACGCTGGGACTTGTAGTCCCGCCGCCATCCCCTCGGGAGCCCCGGCGGAGCGGGGCACCCGCTGCTTTGGCACAGGCGGCGGTGCCGGGGAGCCGGCGGACACCCACCTCCTTCAGCGCCCGGCGCCCTCCCGGCTCTTCCCTTTTCAGCTCTCACGTGAGGCGATGGCCCGTGGACTCCCCGCCCAGCGCCCCCCGCGCCGCTGCGGCCGCCCCCGGGGCCATCTTGGGTGTGGCGGAGCGGGTGTGTGAGGGGGGAGAGCAGCGAGTGGGGATGGGGCGGGCCGGGCGCTGTCCTGGTTTGGTTTTTGTCAAGTCTGGTTTTCGACAAAAAGTCCGGCTTGAGGGTGCGCGTGTCAGCGGGGAGGGCTGGGGAAGGGGCGGTTTGTCACAGGTCGAGGGTGTGGTGGCCGGCGAGCGCTGAGGGGGAGGCACCCTCAGCCTGAGGGCGAAGTCCAGGTCGCGCTGCTTCCCCGTCCTTGCGAGCCCACACCGCGTGTGCCCTCGGCTCTTGGGGGCAGATAAACCCCTCCGGGGCGCAGGGAGCCGTGTGGGGCTCGGCGTGGCGGGTGTCGGTCCCCCTGGACGCGGTGGGCAGGCTGAGAGCGGTCCCCTCATGGCCATGGAGGGCAGCCCTGAGCCCGGCTGTGTGCTGGGCATAGACCTGGGCACCACGTCGGTGAAGGCGGCCCTGGTGGCAGGGACAGAGCGGGGGCTGGCGGTGGCACAGAGCTGCTCCCGGGAGACGCAGGCATACACCGATAGCCTGGAAGCTGGACCGCAGGTAAGGGCTGGCAGGGAGCGCTGACAACCAGCCTTGCCTTGTAGCGCCTGGGTTTTGCCACGCTGTGCACATTCCAGCGGCTTTCTTGGATTGTTTTATGCCGAGATTGACGCATGGTTGCCGCTTGTTTATGGATACCTGAAACTGGAGTTAAAACACTCCCTTGTTCGCTCTTCAAGGAAGTCAGGTAGAGCTGCTTGATTTCAGAAAGACCCAGGTTTTGAAAAGTTGCCCAGGACAATCTGAAACTATTCTCCCATGAACCAACACCTTGTCTTTGACACTCCCAGTCAGGGAACAGCAGCCACTTGCCAACTGGAAGGGTATTATGTACTTTAATGTGAGATGGAATCATAACTGGAAATTCCCGGTGGAAATAACCAGGAACATGTACTATAAAAGATCTTTTCATCCATTGTGTTGGTCAGTCTAAAAAAAGGATGAATCAGAATCATAAAAAATGTGCATCGGCATTCCTCTGGCCTAGTATTGTAGTGAGTGCAGGGCTAATTTCTAAACAAAGATACCAAACAGGCCAGTCCTCCTCCCTACAGCCATATTCGTGCACTAGAAGTACTTAAGCACAAAGTTCACATTTATCTGTAGACTAATATTTGAGAAGTCTTGTCTGTAATCTTGACGCTGGTCTGTCACAAAGTAATCTGAATCTTTGGAAGTGTGAAAGCTGCAACAGAGCTTCTTGAGGCACAGTTTGGTCAGTTTGATGAGCAGATCAGTTTGCTGGGTAGTTTTAGGAATAAAATATCCAGAAGTGAAACATCAACATTATGAAAATCAACCGTGAGTGGATAGGGAGGAGCTTTAGGACGATGTAAAGGAGGCTGCATGCCTGTCAGAACACATGGATAATCCTCTTTATGAGGAAAACGAAGAGCAATATTTAATATCTGGTGCTTTCTGCTTGCAGGGAATGGAGCAGGATGTCCAGAGAATAATAAGAGCACTGAACGAGTGCCTGGCTGCTCTACCTCAGCAGCAGCTCCAGAGAGTCACCCACATTGGGATTTCAGGACAAATGCATGGGGTTGTGTTTTGGAAAAGTGATAAAGGTAACACTAATTCTTTTAACATCCCGTACTTACTATAGTTAATGATATTGTTTGCACAGATTAGTTAAAGGGTTTAGTTTAATGAGACCGCTGCAGAGTCAGCACAATTATATGAAGGAGGAATAACATATTTGTGGCTTGTTAGTTGTGAATAACTTGGGGGGATGCTCTCCAGCATCTCCGTAACTTTCTGGTTTCTTCCCCTCAAAAAATCCCAAGCCATTTTTTTCGTAGGATATCATAGACTGTCATATTGTATTGGTTTTGTTGCTTATGCTTCTGTTAGTGGGAGCTGAGAAAGGACTGTGGTCATGATTCTGGATGCTCAGCTGCTTGGCAAGACCTCAGAAACAAAATCAGCTGCAGTGGGGTGGTCACGTGGGGCTTGACTGTGCAAATACCCAGATGATCCTTGAGATATTCTGGAAAAATCCAGGCCTTGGCTTGCCAGCCCTCTGAGGCAGGGATGGATTATCTTCTTGCCTTATAAACCTGCTGAAGTCTAAAGCTTCCAGAGGGTGGTTCCATGTCTTTTTTCTTTTTACCTTATGATGTGCATATAATCTGAACAATTATATATAAATACATTTATACAAGTCTTGCTATAATAGGGTTTATGCAGATTAAGCAAAGATTTATTGTGAACCACAGATTAGATTTCCCAAAAGTGCTACTCACTGCCTGTCAGAAATTGTCAGGGCCTTAATTGCTTGAAGAGACACTCTGCTATTCCTTTCTGGCTGTAATTTTATGTTAAATTCTAAAATGATTAGAAAGAAAGAAATCCAAAGGCTGATGGACTGAAGGAGTTGTTTTGCTTTCCACGTGTCCCAAGAGCTGCATAACAAAGCCTCGTGGGTTCGTAGACACAGGTTCTTATGTCATATTGGTAAATATTTTATGTCCTCAAGCCACATGCCACTTTAGTTTCATTTCTGTCAAGTGAAAGAGGGTGTTTGCTCTCATTTGTTTTGAGTGGACTAAGTGGATCCAGGACCCTTTGGGACACAAATAAAAATTTTTAAAAGCATCCTTTGGGGTTAGATTTATGGTTAATAATATTTCTTAGAATCCATTTAAAACTAGAAGAGCAAACCAATTGGAAATTCGGTTCAGGCAGTCTTGATGGAACAGGGAATTAAGGGAACAAGCAAGAGCATGTTGGCTTAAAAGGTGATGAAACTTGGTGCTGTCCATCATGGGCAGTTTGTTGCTACCACAGCATTCCCCAGGTTGTGATGTGACAGATCCTGGTTGAGGTTTCTATGTGAGAGCTGCCATATCAGCTCCTTGCCTCCCATAGCACAGCTCTGGTTGGGGTTTCTTTGTGGCTCACCTGCTATTTAAGTGTCTTTAATATCTCAAGGGGCAAGTGGCTTGATCCTTTAGGCACTAGGAGTGCTCAGAGAAAAGGAAGGCCTTGGATACCATGCTCTGTTTTAGGAAAGGATGACTGGCGTTATGAAGTAATCTGGGGCTGAAAACCAGGACCAAATAATTTGATTACAATCTCTGCTGGTTCTCTTTCTGCTCTTTTTCCAGTATATTGAACGAATCATCAAGCGTGTCCAGAAATGAGGGATGCCAGGCAGGCTACACTGCAAGGAGTCACTGGATTTCTTGCACACTTTGTGTTTCAGGTTGCAAGTGGAGCGAGTGTGGCACAGGCCCTACCTTTGAGCCACAGTTCATCAGTCACCTGGTGACTTGGCAGGACGGCCGCTGCAGCCCCACCTTCCTCTCCTCCCTTCCTCTGCCACAGTCTCATGTGAGCCTGGCCTCAGGATTTGGATGTGCCACAATCTACTGGTATTTGAAGAAGAGGTACATTGCTTTTCCAAAGGGCTGCTGTGTCAGGCAGTTCCTCATCTCGAATTTATGTGGCAATTGCTATTCCTGTAATGCCGCTGCAGGCTGAGGGGCTGCGTTTCTCTGTATCCCTGCTCTTAATTAAGTAGTCAAACAGTATTTAAAATGACAGTGTTTAATATAAACTGTGTGCAACTGAGCTCACGAGAGTCTCTGACCTCATAAAATCACTACAGGTTTCTAACAAAAAGAAAAGCTTCTGGCCATATGGTAACAGAAGCTTTAAAGCATCACAGAATAATTGCAATCCATTGTACTGGTCAGAGGAGCTCTGCTGATGCACTTTGAACACTGTCATTTTGCCTCGTGCTCTTTGTGAAAAGCACCAACATGCCTAAAACAGTCACAGAGTGCTTGGTCTGGTTGCTGCCAGATGCTAAAACAAAAAGCCTCTAAATTAATTTCAGTTCCTTCCTTCCCCAGACACTGAGCTCCTCATGAGGTGTTATGAGTGCTCTGCTTTGTTGAGGCATGTTTGCAGAGGATATAATTTTTCACTTATGACTTGGCATCAGCGAGGTTTGTTCTTCAGTTTCATCTTTCTCAAAGAGCCAGCGTCTTCCTCTGCAATGAGCATTTATTTTGCCTATTTATTTCAAATTCCATTTAAAACAAACAAACAAAACAACAAAATGCAGGTTGATCACTGAGGTGGCAGTTTAATTTTTAGGTGAGATGAGACCGTGTGTCAAGTTCTCTGTAGCAATGGAAGTTGTCTTGCTCCCACTGCCTTAAAGCAAAAAAACCCTCACTTGTTTTTTGGTTTTAAAATGTCTTGTTTAAAAGTCCAGATTTTCTGAAAGCTTATGATGCAGCTGCCACTATCCAGGACTACGTGGTTGCCATGTTGTGTGACCTGAAGAAGCCACTCATGTCTGTCCAGAATGCTGCCAGCTGGGGATATTTTAATTCCAGAAGCAAAAGCTGGAATACTGACATGTAAGTGCCGAGGTCATTCAGTGGGGCCTGTGCACTGCACCTCTTTGGGCCCTGAGTGTCAATGTGCTACAGATTAAAATGGGTTGGACAGTTACTCCTAATCAATTGTGGCCTGTCCTGCTGAACCATTGAGAGTTTGCTCTGGTTTGGGAAGTGTAACTTTAAATCTTGTAAAAGCTGGCACAGTATTTGTAGAAATAGCTCCCAACAGCAGAGCTGAGAGACTCATAACTGTTCTCTCCTTTTCCACGGTGGGATGGGGGGTGGGAATGGACAAGTGCACGTTGCAGCCACGCCGTTCCCTCTGTCCTGGTAAAGGCAGTTACCACTCTCTTGGTTCTTTCAGCTGAGCTCCTTCATAGCTGCCAAGACTTACTTGGGATAATACTTAAGAGTTATTAAGCTACAGGAAATCTTATAGGGGATCAGTTTATTTATTTACTTATTTATGTTAATGATTTACTCTTTCAGGGCTGAGTGCTAAGGCCTTATATGTTCAGGGCTTAGGTTAGGCCAGGACTCCAAGGTGAAAGATCTTCTCGTCAAGGTATGAAAGAGTGACAGAAACTTGCATTTTGCCAACTGAACTTTTACTAATGTGGAGTTGTTGCTGTAGCTCTGTAGTGTTATCTTGCAGCTGATTGCATAAGGAGTTTGTTGGATTTAACTCTTTGTGATTCGGTTTTGAACCACTAATTGCATGACAGCTTAAGTTCTTTGACACTTAGCTGCATTTTTTGCTGTTTTTGTGAATGTCCCTTTACCCTGGAACTGCTTGTCCATGTGTCATCAACAGGTTAAACTTGCTGAGCACATACTGTACAATCTCAAGTACTCAGATTGCATATAAAGGAAAACTATTTATTCTTCTAGACTATTCCAGTTTACCCAGCCCGTTGGACTGGAATGCTGCCCCTGTCCAAGACAGAGATTTCTAAATAGGTGAAAGCATCCATAAATCCAGAAGCCACAAATACATGGACAGCTTCATCTGTGACTTCAAAGAGGCCTTTGTAGTCATGCCACAGTTCCCAAACTGCTTTCTTCCAATAATGTTGTTCTGATTTCAGATTGGAAAAATCCGGCTTTCCTGTTCACTTGCTTCCAGAGGTGGGAGACCCTGGAAGCATTGCAGGCAGGACAGCCCGTGCATGGCATGGAATACCCAAAGGAGTAAAAGTAGGAATTGCTCTGGGAGATTTCCAGTGCTCTGTTTATTCCTGTCTGACTGAGAGGACTGATGCAGGTATGGTCATTTTGGTGTCTAATTTGGTTTCCTCATTGTCCTCCTTCAGGGTGGGATAGTAAAACACTGATTATTTTCTTTTTTTAATTTCTTTTGTGTTCTAGTTCTTAATATCAGTACCTCTGTTCAGCTGAGCGTCTCAATGCCCCCGGGTTTCCAACCTCCAGAGACACCAGATCCTTCCTCAGCTGTTACTTATTTTCCCTACTTCAGTGGGGACTACTTGGCAGTGGCAGCGTCACTCAACGGGGGCAACGTGCTGGCAGCGTTTGTGGGCATGGTGGCACAGTGGATGGAGGAGCTGGGTAAGTCCATGTCAAGGAGAGCTGAAGCTTAAAACTGAGGTTGATCATCAAGGTAAAAGGAAGCTGAGGCAAAGGAACAAGCCTAGAGCTGTTCTGTCCTGCCATACAGGGAACAAGGATGTAACTCTTGGGCCAGGCTTCCTGGATCTCTGGAATTTCCTGCTGATGAACATGCCGGGACAGTCGTGCCTGGACTCCACGTTCACGTTGCCTCTAGGTCTTCTTTGCTTTTGAGGATAGAAGAGAATTACTTTGTGCAAGTTGATTTTCACAAGGGAAAACTGGCAGATTTGAGGACAACAGCCTCTCATTTTGTGTGACTGCAGTCCAGAGGAGTCCCTTGGTTATATCAGTTGCCTCTTGCAGAACTCTAATGGATTTTAAGACTCAGACTCGTGCAATGTGTTCTAAGTGCTTTAAACGTGGTCTTCACAGGTTGTTTAATAATCTCTTGGGTTTTGCAATGCAAAAGTAAGCTCTGAAATTGTTCTTTCAGCGAGTACTTGAGGTGAGCTTCGCCTTCACATGGAATCCAGCCACTGAAGCTGCTGTCTGCCAGTAGTGCCTGCTGTTGTTTTGTGTAACTTGGCACAGTGCAGGTGACCAGGAATAGCTGTATTGTCAGGAAAGGCACTTTCAGAGAAGGTTTTAGTATCACACATCCTAGATACAATTGGGTGGGAGAACTGTGGTTCATGATCCTGGAAAAAACAGTCACCCTTGGGATGTGGAAAAAGATATCCAATATTTTACTGAACAGATGGATAAGTGTCCAGTGCAAGTCTCCACCAGACTACTAACCTGGTATTTCCCATCTGCAGGACTTCAGGTCCAGGAATCTGCCATCTACACAAGGATAATCCAAGCAGCCTTGGCCCAAAACCACAGCGAGCTCTCAGTCCATCCAACCATATTTGGAGAGAGACACCTTCCCGAGCAGTTGGGATCCGTGACCAACATCGGTGCCTCTGAGCTGTCCCTGGGCCGTGTCACCAGAGCTGTGTGCCGTGGGATCATCCAGAACCTCTGCTCCATGTTCCCTGTGCAGCGCCTGACGGACACGGGCGTGAGGAGGATCCTGGGCAGCGGCTCTGCCCTGGCCAGGAATGAGGTGCTGAGGCAGGAGGTGGAAAGGACTTTTCCCTTCCCCGTGGTTTACGGGAAGGATGTCGATGCTGCTGTGGGGGCTGCCATGGTGATGATCCATAGGAAATAAAGGGGTTGTTTGGAACCACCTGAGATGGAGCTTCTGTTTTCTTCCTGGCTGTGCAGTGTTTCTTTTCACTTCATCCCATGTGCAATCTCACTCATTACAGAGGGGGAAAAAACCCTGCATTTAATGTCCAATTCTCCTTCTGGGTCTGCACATTTTGGTGCTCTGTCATTCCCATTTGTGAAATGAGCAGTAATTACCACATTACATTTGTCTGAGTGATTGGGAGAGATCCATTAACTTTCTGCATAAAATGGTACTTCACACGAGGCTCATTTTCCTGGTAGGAATATGTTTGGAAGGCCTGGGAGAGAAGAGTAGCTGTAACTTCATCTGATGCTTTCATCAGAGACTTCTTGTCCTTAAGCTGTCTCACAATATACAGACATATCAGCCAGCAGCCCAGGGTGTCAGCCTTGTCTGGGGGGGTTTGGTGGCTCCTGCACAGAGCAAATGCCAGTTTTCATGGATTGCATGTTGTCTCCGTAAAAGATGGAATGATACCTTGGCTTGAACACTGACAAAATAATGAAAATAAACCATGGAAGGTTGTTTCTATTCTGTTTGTCTGTGCTGTGTTTGGGTGCAGTGGACTAAGGTCAAAGGCATGACTGGGCTGGTACCGTGACTGGAGATGCCAGGGATTGTAGCCAGTGGAAAATGCATTTACAGGGTGAGAAGTAATTCTTTATTTGACATACATAATTATGTTTGGGTTTGGGATCAGGGCCTCTCTGAAACAGTCAGAATTTGAGATAAACTGGAGGAGCTATTTTAGTGTATTTGATCTCAAGGTGTTTCTTCTTGTGCCCTTCCTGTACTGTGTCAATTTAAGCTTTAATCAATTAGCCTGACTAATCAGTTTTTAATGTTGGGTATTGCTCATGTGCATTCCCTTAAAATTTCCATGGTTTTGTCCCCTATATTATGCTCTTAGACTTTATTTCTTCCCTTACTCTTTATTTTAACGTGAAAACATTTTGTAGTTTCAGACTAAACCAAGACACATGTACACTTGTTTTGCTCAAATGACAATGGGAAGCAAGGAAGATGTTTCCATGTTATCTGGATCCAGTTTCAGTACTAGGCAGCAGGTGTTTCCACTGAAATCTGGACATGGATTCCTATCTTCCTCACTAGCAACATCAGAACTGACATTTTTATAGTGAAAAGCTGTGCTGAGTTTGGAGATTTTAATTACAGAGATGCTGAATTTCCAACTCCCTCCTCCCTCTCTCTGTGCATCTGTTCCATGTCATGTTCAGGCAACTGTTGGCATATGAAGGAATTACAGAGAAAGTGCAGACTAAATTAAAGAAAAGTCTGAATTTGTTACATGTTGTTTCCCTTCTTACATTATGATATTTTTGCATCAGCACATCTGCTTTCATTTTTATTGAATAACTGGAAAGAGCTGATAATACTGTTCCTGTGCCCTGTTACCCATGAGATCAAGTGACATTTGCTTCCAGGAGCTGGTAAATCATGGCCTGGTCTGAGGTTCTGTTAGCAAAGGCAAGGCTGTCTCTGAGCTGCAGGCCAGCCCTGGATTCATCTTTAGGATCTCTGGCACATCTGCTGATGGTTTTCCATTTGCAGCGATGGAGAGGGGCTCTTAGTGGGTAAAATCCCTCTCCAAGCACAGGAGTTTCACAAAGCCTTTGCAGCGTGTTGGAGGCAGGCCCAAGGAAAAGGAATAAATTCCTTCTTGCTCATTACTGCCTTATTTTGACAAGCACTCACATCTCCTAAAAACCAGGTCCCTGCTGAGATGGAATGTGAGATGTCCAACAAGTGTTGCAAAAAGCAATGGAGAAGGAAACAACATCTTCCCAGAAAACACAGGCCAAGCAGCTGCTAAAGGAGGCCTCAGGAAGCAGCAGAAAGCTCCCAAAGTGCATCCACGGGAGCACAGCGAGACTGGGAGGAGCTGGTGCTGGAATGGGAGAAGAGGGAGAAGGAACATTTAGCAAAAGGCAGCTGCAAAAAGCCAGAGACTGAGTAAGGGAGACCCTCCACTGCTCCAGGGAGTTTTCCTACTGAGTCCCTGCCCTGGAAATGGTGAAGGAGTTAATTGTGATGTTGAGTGAGAGGCTCCAGGAGCAGCAGCTGAGGACCTGCCTCGTTGGTAATCTAGATTAATGCATTAATAAATAGGTTTGTTACTCCGTTTGACACAATGCCATAGGGTGTTCTAAGGAGCATAATTAGTTTGCTATTAAATAGGCAAATGTATAATTCTTTTATACATCTATGGGTAGATAGATGGCAGGACTAGAAAGACAGCTGCCTTTTGCAAAATGTAGCAGAGATCATTTCATTAAATAATTTCATAAACTCATAACCTCAGGGGGCTTGGGGGTTGCTCCCAACCTGTCAACTCAGCCTCTGGAAAAATTCTTTCTCTAAACCAGTTTTTGTCAGAAAGATCATATTTAAATTATATATTTAACAACATTTGACACAGTTCCTCATTTTTAATGGTGTTAGATCCATCCTGGATTAGATAAGATATTTTTCCTAATTAATATTTAGGAGCTGATTGTTACATATATAATTTAAATAAAACATAGTAGGAATGTGGAACAATGGAAAGGCTTTAGGACTTTCTGACATTGATTCTTGCTCAGCTCTGTTCTGAATCAGCTCATCTTTAAAATAATTCTCTTTAAATCAGCCACCCAAGAAAGATGTCCAGAAAGATCACTGTGGCACATTTTACAAAGTTTCACAAATTGAAATGAAACTGTGACCCACAGAAACAATTGCTATCTGGTGGTTTGGGTGGGTTTTTTTTTTGTGAAGTTGAGTGTATTTACGAAGAGGAAATCTGGAGAAGAATATCCATTACTAAATGCAATTAAAGGGGAGGAAAAAACAACAGCAACTCACTGCAATTCTTGTAAAGAGCTCTGCGAAACCTTTGGGAATAGAAGCCACTGATGCTTCTGGTTCCAGAATTGTTCTTAATTATCTTATTGCTCTATTCTCTCTCCTTCTGGTGAACTTCCCTGGAATCTGAGAATCAGCACATGCCACACTTCTGCAGACAAATGAAGTGGGGAAGCAAACTCTGAGGGCTTTCCAGTCCAGGCACCTTGGAAGGAGGAATATCTGGCACCAAATTTCCTGGAGATCACTGGGTGTTTACTGAGACCGGGCTGTTTTTTGGAGGACGGGATTTTTGTCAGTATTTGTAAGTTCTGCATGTATATTTGTGGTTAGTTCTTTTAAAACTCTATTATTTATTATAAGTTGTGATGTGGCAAGGCTTTCTATCAGAAATATTTCCTTATTTATTGTGTCAAATGTCAATGTATATGGGTTTCAGAGAGTTCAAGTAGTTTTTGTGTTTAGTAGAATGGATAATATTTTTTAAAAGAATTCCCTGGCAAATTCATACTCATGAGGAAACGCAGCTTTGTCTTCCTTATCAAATATATTTTCAACAGGGTTTAGAAAGGAAAGCACATATAATGACTAGAGGAGGTTTGAGCAATTACCAGGGAGAAAGGATTGAGCCCATTCTGCACATTTTAACATTACATTTATTCTGTGGGAAATAAGTGATTCTATTTTCCGTGGCCATCTTGCTGATGTTTTTGGCTCAATCCACATTAATTTAAATAAAACAAAAAATTAAAATTATACAGGACTGTATTCCCACTGTATGTTTTTCTATTTTTTTATAGAACTGGTTTTATTCCTTTTCTACTGAAATAGTTGTTCTAGTGTAATTTTAGTGTCCTATTCCAAATGGAAATATTTTGATTTCTTCTTTATAGAACAAATAAATTAATAAGTTATTATGTTATTCTTTCTGAGTGATTCTAAGGACAAAAAACTTGAAAGGTGAGTGAGTTAAATTGCAGTTATTAGTATTTTGTCCATACTATGCTGGTTTGCTTCCAATTGATGTTTTCTGTACATGAAAAATACAAATGCCTGCCCAAAGTTTCTTTCCTGTCTTACTTGCACAGAAAAAGGTAAGTGACCCTTGATATAAATATGAAGTATTCCCATAGAACTGAAAATCCAGCTTTAATGTACAATGTGGGTTTGCAGACAACCCTCCGAATATTCTCGTGAAGAGAAGCAACCTTGAAGCGTGGTTATGGTGTTGTTTTCACACTGGATTTCCACAGAAGATTACTGACCACTGTAATGTGGCTTATAATGTAAGGCTTTTTAAAGATTTTGTGACACTCCTGTGCTCAAAGCTGTGCAATTTCCAAGCAATGTAGGATGTCAGAGAATGTTTCTGAGCCAGCGGTGCAGGAGTTGGAATATGACGTATTCCTGTCTCCACTGCTGGAGTTCCAGAACATTTTGAATTCAGTGGCATGCAGATAACATTTGTCTGCTTAAAACAGTTTGATAAGAAAGAAAGAAAGGAAAAAAAAAAGGTGGTTTGCTCTGTTTTCAGTGGAGTGTCTTATCTGTGAGGGGAGGAGGCCCCAGGACAGGCTGCCCAGAGAAGCTGTGGCTGCCCCATCCCTGCAAGAGTCCAAGGCCAGGTTGGACAGGGCTTGGAGCAACCTGGGCTAGTGGGAGGGGTCCCTGCCCAAGGCAGGGGGGTTGGAATGAGATGATCTTTAAGGTCCCTTCCCACCCAGACCATTCAGTGGTTCTGTATTTGTTAACTCCTGTAAAGTTCTTTGTGGTTGTAAATCAGACAGGATCAGACGTGTGGTCTTACAGTCACCTCTTACCTGTGGTAACCTTTCCCTTCCTGTTCCTGTGTCTCATGTTTGACACTCCTCTCTCAGGAATCACACGCCAATTTTCATCCAGCACTGCCAGAATTCTGGCAAAGCCATTAAGTGATGGTTTTCCTGTGTGCAGGAAGCCCCTCTGTGCTCAGCGTCCCAGATGTGCTGTGATGGCACAAACAGGCTGTTTTCACGTGCCTGATATAATCATGAGAATAAATTATGGCACAAACCAGTTAGAAAGTAGAGGAGAAAAGTAGAGGTTGTTGAGGCTTGAGGTTGTTCAGGTTTTACCAGTGGCTGGAGGAGGATGAGGCCCTGGTTTTAAGCAGGAGTCAGCTCTGCAGTGGGATGGCTGGCAAGCTCTGGGGTGCTCTGGCTTGATTTGTCCGCTCTGGAATGGGTAAGGGCAGTGGGAACAGGAACAAACATGGAGCTAATGACCTACTAAACTGTTCCAACTCTGTGCACGGTGAATACGTGTCCATCTGCCTCATTTCTGGCATGAGAGCAACCAATCCACTCCCTGCTGTTCATGGAGAGTGTTCCGAGGCAAAAGGGGACTCGTGGCCCTGTAAAACGCTGACTTGAGGTGTTCGTGTCCTTCCTCACAGACTGCCTGCTCATCATGTCCTCCATTCTTGGGAAGATGAAGAAATTCAGCAGCTTTGACATGGAGGAATCTGAAGGGGCAGATGAACACACGGAAGGGGAGGACTCTGTCCTGGAAACATCTGACAGCCCCCAGGGCCCCCCCAGCACCAGGGTGCAGCCACCCAAAAGCAACATCTTTGCAAGGCGTGGGCGGTTTGTGATGGGGGACAGCGACAAGAACATGGCTCCCAT